ATGACTTTGAAATGGGCAGCTTGACTGTAGCAATCAGGTAATCAATATAGATTCAGTTCAAGAAATATTTTGAGCCTTTTATGATAACGTTTCTATGGTCTTTACAGTTTAAAAACATCTTCACCTCTTTTTCCTCATTTGAGAATACAGCAATTCTCAGAAGGAGGTGTTATTTTATGCCCATATTTTAGAGAAGAAAACGACAGTTAATGTGACTAGTAATTAGCAGACGCATGAATCCTAAATCCTATAACCTTTCCAATAACTTATGTTATCTCTTCTATATGTAATGCATAAAGTGAGGGATACAGAATACGTCAAAATATTTCTTGAGAACTGTTTGACTTGAATTGTGCTTTCCAGTTCACAAAAGATTGCCAGCTATATTATCCCTTTTGAGTGTGACAATGACCTTGTGAGGGAATGGCTCCAGTTTCCAGGAAATGTAAAGACTAATGAGAAAAGGATAAGACAACAGTATAACTCACTATAAGACAGCATTTGATCAGGTCATTGGATGGTCAAAGGAGAGAGGGATCACATTCAGCTGGGAGGACCAGGAAAGTCAGCTCGGATTCCAAAGATAATTGAAGCAAATGGATACACAGAGCCAGATGAGAGTGGTACTGCACATCTTTAAAGTCTGGTCCTGCACCAGGTCCTTGAAAATCCACTAAGCTTCTTTGACCAGAGATTTTCTAGAGGAAAAAAAAAAAAAAAGAATATCATAATACCTTCAACAACAAAAAGTGTAAGTCCTTAGAGAGCAAATATTTCTGAAATCATTACAGAAGAAATGGATATACCAGACAAAATGAAAGAATTCCCACAGTAACATCAATCTTAAGCAAAAGTTCATTTGTTATAACAAAAAGGTAAACACAATGACCTAAACTTGAGAAAGTTTTGGATTTAGGAAAAGTTATAAGATCTGGGACATTTTTTCGTTACGTAGAATAATATTTGTTCAGTTCCAAACCTCCATTCCCCCTTTTATGTGAGATACCAAAATCAGGTATTAAGAGCCAGGACATTTTGTGGGTTTTTTTTTGTTGTTGTTGTTTGTTTGTTTTGTTTTTATTGTGCTTTAAGTGGAAGTTTACAATTCAAGTTAGTCTGTCAAACAAAAATTTATACAGACATTGTTATGTGACCCTAGTTGCTCTCACTGTACTGTGACAGGACACTCCTCCTTTCCACCCCTGATTTCCCGTGTCCATTCAACCAGCTCCTGACCCTCTGCCTTCTCATCTTGCCTCTGGGCAGGAGTTGCCCATTCAGTCTCATGTATCTACTTGAGCTAAGAAGCACATTCTTCACGAGTATCATTTTATGTCCCATAGTCCAGTCTAATCTTTGTCTGAAGAGTTGGCCTTGGGAATGGTTTTAGTTTTGGGCTAACAGAGAGTCCAGGGGCCATGTCTCCCAGGGTCCCTCTAGTAGGAGCCAGGACATTTTGAACAAACAGCATGGTGACCTGGAGTAGCTAGAAGTTAGGGGGCCGGGTGATAAATATAAAACCACTCTTAGTAGGAAGACTGAAGGGTCAAAACCAGAGAAGCCAAATCCATTGTGAGATCCAAAGGATCAGCAGTAGTAGAGGGCAGAGTGTGAGGAGGAATTAACTTCAGAGGATTCCAAAGTTTTCAGTTCTCCAACTGTACTGCTCATCACAGCTCAGTGGGTGCTGATCATAGGTATGTGGCTGGGTCAGCCTAAGACAAAGGTCTGGAGTTGTAGAGGGCAATGATACGTAGAAAGAAGATGAGTAAAATTTAGCAATCTTCAGTAACAATTCAACTGAGGGTGTTCTGGGTCTACATCTCGCTTACTTTGTCTTCCTTTTAATCTACGTACCTGGGACATCTTCTCCAGATTAAATCATTTTTCTTCTTTAACTTGTTATTTCCTGACTTAATTTGAATAATAATTATCTGGATTTAGAGAGAAAAAAAACTTGGTTAAATTTTACAGTACCATGGTATAGTCTTCATAAGATTTTTTATGTTAATAGTTATGTAGACATCAGAGAAAAAAGAAAAATGTTTGCTTCCGTCAGTGCCCTCGTATATACATTAGTTATAATGTTATATGGAGAAACTTGAAGTTAATAAATTGATAGAAAAAATCAAGGACTATATAGGCTGTGTCTATATATGTGAAATAAATGTAGAAAAAAACAGTTTAGGTTTTGGTCATTTTAAGAGGCCAGTGGTAATTTTTTTAGCCTTGGTTGGCTCTACCAACTCTTTTCCTCCTGTGAAACAAACCCTCAGCCCCACAAGTTTCTTCACTGCTGTACCCCAAATTCACCAGGCTTCTTGCTCAGTGCCCACTTCCTCACTGGCCTCTAAGTAGCAACACTGCCCAGTAAGGCTCTTGGCATAATTCCCATCCTGGCAGTTTCTGTAAATGGAGTGTAAAGAACCTGGCAAGTACAGAGAACTATGTTATTTAATTACTATTTCCAAATCATTATTATTGTTGTTGTTTTGACATATGGACAACGAGGAGCATACTGTCGTCTTTTGTACGCAATAAAACACATTTATGTAAACCTCCGAAACTATGGCCCCTGGACACCCTGCTAACTCAGAACCGAAGCCACTCCCGAAGTCCTTCTTTCAGCCAAAGATTAGATAGGCCTATAAAACAAACAATAACACATGGGAGGAATGTGCATCTTAGTTCAGTCAAGTATACGAGACCAAATGGGCAACACCTGCCCAAAAGCAAAGACGAAGGCAGAAAGGGACAGGAAACTTGGATGGACGGACACAGGGAACCCCAGGTGGAAAGGGGGAGAGTGCTGACACTCTGTAGGGAATGCAACCAATGTCACAATACAATTTGTGTATAAATTGTTGAATGAGAAACTAATTTGCACTGTAAACTTTCATCTAAAGCACAATAAAATTAAAAAGAAAAATATTTATATAGTTCTTTATAGTTTGCAAAACATTTCCCCAATATAAACTCGGTTAATCCTCGCAGCAGACCCTGGAGGTAGGTACTATTATCATTGTTTATATATATATATATGAGGAAAGGATGACTTAATGAGTTTAAATGACCTGACTAAGTGACCAAAGCTTAGATTCAAGCCCAGTGTGCGTAATTCCTCTAGTAACTGAGCCGGAACTAGAATCCTGTCCTCTGACGGGAGGACCAGGGGTCACCACTATAATCCAGTCTTATTTTCAATATATGTAAATTTTATATTTGGAGAATTGAAATGCAAAAACACACAGACATACATTTATATAGAGATGCCACTATTCTTACAATTTTAAAAAATTTATAGGTAAGTATATCTCCATATTTATGCACCATTTATCAGAGCTTGCTGATTTACAGGTAAGTTAGCTTTGAAGTTTTGTGCTGAGTCAAATGTGTATGTCAACACTTATTTTCCTTTTAACATACATTTGAAAAAGAACAGAAATGAATACTCCCAAAATCTTTTCGTTCTATACAGACAGTCCCCAGGTTACAAACATCCAACTTACGTACAACTCGTAGTTATGAACCAACCCCGTAAAGCCTGTTATGTTAAAAATTTGAGGTATGTACAATGGTTCATAATAACAAATAGGCGCTACTTTGCAAGGCACATCAAAGCATTACTAATATGACTAGTGTATTATTATGTTCAAGATGTTTTAATGTATCTGGAAGTGTTTCTTTAATGTTGTTCATGCACAGAAATGTACACTATATTCTATATACTAAGACAGACATTTGACTAACTGACGTTAGATATGAACCATACCTAACTGTTCCAACTTACATACAAATTCAACTTAAAGACAGGCTTAGGAATAGAATTCGTTCATAATCCGGGGACTGTCTGCATAATATCTTTTACTGCCACAAAATGTAAAGAAAGAAGCTCAAAATGTAACGTTTGAAAAACCAATTCAGATGATGGAATAAGTATCTGATAAAACATATTAACAATAATCAAAATCAGCAAAAACTACTCAGCTTTTGAGATCGCTGTTAACAATATGAGAATAAGTGAGAGAAGCATGCACGTAAGATGATATTTATTCATTAGCCAATGCTTCTTGACATTTCCACTACGGAAATTGTTACTATGTTATTGACATAATTGCTGTTGGGGTAGGTTTCTGTAAATGGAGTGCACAGATCCTTGCACTAGAGGGAAGTCTATTAATGTAGAATGTAGCTTCCTTTATCGAGCACTTATTTTTTGCAAGTCACTATACTAACTAAGCATTTTGATTCACCACTCAAAACCCTGAAAGTTAGGAAGTAATTAGCCTAACTATAACCTAGAAAACTGAGGCACAAGGGAGGTGAGCATTTCAGCTTTGCACGATGTCACAAGGCTAGAAAGTGACAGAGCTCAGCCTTGAACCCAGCCTGACACCAGAGTTTATGCTCTTAACCATCACACTAACTACAGCTAAAGAATTCAGCCTTTAAACTTTCAAAGTATTGTTCCAATAGACATTTCTTCTGAAAGACAGCATATCCCTTTTTTACTTTTGTCCTCTGTGAGTTTTTCCTTGTCTTTTTCAGTTAGAGCTGAACTTGTCAATGAGCTTTCTTCAGCCTTCTTCCTTGAGTGACAATTTCTACGTTATGTATCTGATTTTTTGCCCTTTGTTTTTGTTGTGTTTTCCCTCAGAGAGAACATCCTTATTATGAAGGACTGTATGTGAAATAAACTGACCAGAAAGACCAATCTCTTTATGAAACTTTGATTTATTTACAGAATATCTCCATCTGGATTTCCTAACTTTTGCTAATTCCATTAAAAATGAATGTGCTTACTTTTAAATGTACATAGATAGATGTACATAATTTACATGATTAAATAAATTAAACTGAACACATAATATTACCTTTCCTGCTTAACACCCTTAACAGTACACAGGGTTTACGTTTTCATGGACTGTTTTTTTTTCCATAGATTATCCAAGTAGTTCGTGAGCAACCCAAGGTAGTAGTCATTTGCTTTTTCCCCCCAGAAGCTCAGAAGAAGCAATTGGAAGAGCGTATAGAGCTGATCCAAGACGAATGTGTGTCAGAGAATGCGGATCACTCTACAGAGGAGCCTGCTGAAGGAGGACCAGATGCGGATGGAGAAGAGATGACTGATGGGATAGAGGAGGACTTCGATGAAGATGGGGGTCATGAGCTGGTAGGAATGAACCATTTGGTGTCCATACCCTTTGGGTAACAGCACTAACATGTCAGCAACTCATCCATTCTAAAATAAGGATTAAATCATTTGGGGCTCATTTCTCATATACATATATTTAAGACAACACCAGCACAGTGCCTTGCACAGAGTAAGTGCTCAATTCCTTTACGCTAAATGAAAATATGGGGGAGTGAACAAAAGAACAGTAGAAATATTTCATATGGGATTAGGTGTCACTAAAGTCCTAAAAGAAAGATTCTCTTTCACAAATGCTTCATCATGAAAGGAACCTTGTGTTTGTGCAATTACAAGTAAACTGTACGTGTATATAATATCTTGGTAACAAATGAACATTTACTAGAAGCTACATGGATTCTCCCTGTTATTTGATAGTTTCACTCACTGATAATTAGCTATACGTGTCGAAAGTTGTACAGCCAACAATCTTTTCTACAGTCGCCTCACTAAGAGGACCCTTTAGTGTGTGACTAGGCCACCATTTTTAGTGCCTGTAATATTTGATATTCAGTTTAGTTGAGTTGGAAATTTAGCTGAGATCTGATTCTTTAAATGCTTTATTTTCCCATCATTGTGATCATTGTATTTCTCATTCCAAATGTCTTTTCCTGAAGAACCACACCAGGGATTAGGTAAATATATGCTGCTGAGAAGGTTGTTTCTCATATTTTATCAACCATGAAATTAAGTATACTATCTTAAATGGGCCGACGAATGGAAGTGGTGAAAGGGAAAGTGTGTGAATATGTTGCCAACTCTCAAATATCTATGGACTTATATTAAATTTGGCTTATCCCCAGGTATATCAGGTTCAAATATATTAGAATATCTACTGTTACTTAATTTTGTTGTGATGGTTATGCTTTTTATTTTACTTAATAGTTTCAAAGAAAGCTTAATTTTATGGAATTCCATATTGACTTTTAACATTCCAGCTCTATCTAAATTGAGTAATACCTTCATTTAAACCTTTCAGACATGAGCCTTTAGCACCACCTCCCCATCCCTACAAAAATCTGCATAAATGGAGGGACTTAAGTACCTGTTTTTAGAATTGTATTGATTTCAGGAATCTATTGAGCAGGCACTAGAATGAAGAACTAACGAGTTTCCCAGTTTCTACTTAAGCAGGGCTTTAATTCAACAACATGCATTCCTCAACTCATTCTAGCCTGACTGAGTTTTCACCACTCCAGTATGACTGCCCTTGTTGAGGTCTCCAAAGGCCTCCATGTTGCTATTTCCTATGGCTACCTCTTTGTTCTTATTTTATGACTTTTCAGCAGAACTTAGCATAGTGGACCTCTCCCGTCTGAGAAATCCTCCTACCTCACTAATTTCTCCTTCTCAGTTTCGTGTGCTAAACACTCCCCCTCGCCCCACTGCCCCATACTTCCACTCTCAACGTTGGATTACAGAAGCCACCTTCTCTTCTCTAGCTATACGCTTTCTCCAGGTGATTTCATCAAACACCATAGCTTTAAATGTTATCTACAGACCAAAGATTCCTAAATCTATATTTTATTCCTGACATCTTCCTGGAACTCAAGACTCAAGTATTCAAGTATCTGTCTCCACATAGATTTCTAGTAAACAATTGAAACTTAACATGGTCAGAAACATTCTTGATTTTTTTTCCAGACATCTTATTCCTCCCTTAGTCTTCCTCATTCTGCTAAACAGCATCACAGTTGCTACCACAAAAAAAAAAAAAAAAAAAAAGCCCTAAGATTTATCTTTGGTTATTTTTCCATTCTCCCCTCCCCCCGCCCCGTTAATCCTATCTACAAATCACAGCCCCAAAACAAGTGCATTTCCACTAAGATCACCTTGGCCTGAGCCACCATCCTGTCTCATCAGACTATTCAGTAGCCTCCACACTGCTTATCATGCCTCCATTCTTTACTCACTGCAATCAATCCTCAAGACAAAAGGGGCAAAAATCTTTTTAAAGTATACATCAGATAATTCCTCTCCCTTGCTTAAAATTCTACAAAGCGTTTCATCACACGTAGAATCAAAATTCCCAAGTGTGTGAGTGTAAACCATGATGAGGGTGAGTGGAGAATGACAGTAGTGACAAGAAAGGAAAGCTCCGGATGCTAAAAGGAAATAAATCTAAAGCACAGATGTAGGGACTGACCTTCGACTGAAGAGGAGCACTCTTCCACTACTATTGACATAGTTGTCTGAGTATATGAAGGCAGGAGTTTGAAAGTTCAAGCACAAATCTATGAAAAGTTAGAGCTGTGATCACCGATGGAGACTGAGGAGAGCTAGGCAAGATCACAGATCTGAGTCAAATGAAGACTATGTGAAGAAGTTAATATGAAAAATATAAAAATATCAAGACTGGCAGTTAGTGATAATAGGCAGTTAAGGTTAGAGATAAAGTATTAGTAGAGCAGTGTGTTTGCAAACTTTAGTGTACATCAGAATTACCTGGAAGACTTGTTAAAACACAGATTTCTATGTCTCATTTTGAGAGTTTCTGATTTAGTAGGTCTGAGTAGGTCCAAGAATTTGCATTTCTAACAAGATCCCAAGTCATGTTGATGCTGCTGTTCTGGGGACCACACTTTGAAAACCACTGCTATGAGGCATCCATCTGTCCAGCTCTGGAATTTTCTCCATTGGCTTTTATCAGCCCTGGTGGCAGCAGGGAGAAAGCAAGCAAGTGACTGGTTCAGAGTGGTATTTTTGTCAGATAAATGCAAAGAAAACAATAAATAAGGGGAATTGGGGCTGTGGTAAAAAGAGTGTCCAACTAGCTCAGTCACGGAATCTAACCTTAGCAGGGAAGGAAGGGGACACGGGAGGGCACTGAGAAGGAGAACACAGAGGCATGAAGGGAATACAAATCCCTATGAAGTTAAGGATCAGAAAAAGTGGAACTAAATGAATAAGAGAAAAATGGAGGTTGTGTTTACAGACTGAAATACTTCAGAGGTGCGACAGCTGTGGGTGATGAGAAGGTCCCTGGAGAGGGTAATGGAAGCTGAGTCAGAGTGAAGGTCATCACAGATAAAAAGTTCAAGGAACCAGCAGGTTCAGATGTAGGATGGGTCATCTACATGGGCATGAACTAATTCAGAAAATCGTGTAAGAAGTAAGAAAGTAAGACAATTATCAAAAGTCTGCCATGAAATAGAGAGCATGACCAATTTAAATTCCAGATCTGTCACTGTCCAACTGAATTACCTTAAACAAATAACTTCTCCGAGTCTCAACTTTCTTATTTGCAAAATAGGAAGGTTAGACCAGAAATTTCTAAAATTCATTCTTTTTGCCCTCCCTCTGGGTGATTGTCTATTCCGGGGGCCTCTGTGTCAAGGAGAAGGGCTTAATTATGCAGCCCAGGGAGTAAATGCTGACAACGGTGTCTGGTTTATGCTCTAAGCATGCAGAAGGAACTGGTGACAACTGCTGCTGCCTGGAGGTGCTCAGCTTTTCTCCCACAACCCTTGCACTATAAATGGGAGTTTAGGGAGATAAAAGAATTAAATCCTATCTCTGGTGTCTCATTTTGTGTCTAAGACTTGGAAAATAATGGATGAGATTGGTTTTAACACTAAGTCCTAGCGATCTAAACGGAGAGTCATGGCCCCTTCCCAGTGATTGCCAAGAGAAAATTCCCTAGTGTAGTATCCACTTTTTCCTCCTTCCTAGACCATATGAGACAAGTCATCCTTGATTCTCAAAAAAGAAATTAAAAGCACACAACTCCTGTTTGCCATAATCAAGGGCATGATAGATTTGAACTGCAAGGATACATATAATAGGGTTTTTAACACATGCGTTACGAGTCAAAAAGAAGAGCTGGAATCCACATGCCCAGAGACTGGTCAAGGAAAATCCAGAATGCCAGTCCAAAAGAATGAGCGGGAAACAAGAGCTGGATCCGAAGCAAAGGAGATGCAGCAGAATGAGCTGGCGGGACATCTGTAAGTGATGGATCCCTTTGTGGAGCATGTGAAAAGCTGAGGGCATGAGCACAGCCGAGGAAACCCTCTGGGGAAGTTCTACCCTGTTCTATAGGGTCACTAGGAGTTGGAATTGACTCGATGGCATACAACAACATACATTTCATTACTGCATAGAAATCAAGATTTGAATTTACTTCCGAGTTGAACTCTATATATTGATACTTAAACATATACTATCAAAACACTACCTTCCTCTTAATTCTGAATAAATCCGTTTATTGATTGACCTCTAGTTGAATGGTACTGGTATTTGTGCTACTGAAATGAAGAGAAATCATATTTTTACCTTCAAGAAGGAAAAAAAAATTAATAAAGGATAAATGACATAGATAAAAATACAAAGCCAAATCTGGTAAGCACCATATGGGAGATCTAGTTTACAGGTGGAAAGTCACATATAGCTTGGATGGTCAATAAAGACTTTTTGCAGAAATGGCACAGGAACTTTGTCTCAAAGAATGCCAAATTAAAGAAACAATATGTGCTAAAGTAGAGGAAGGTATATTCAACTCATCCTTCATTGTCTTCAAATCATTTTATAGAAAATGTATTTAAAATCCAAATGCATTAGATATCCCATAGCTAGATGATACCAAAAACCAAACCCGTTGACATCAAGTTGATTCTGACTCATAGCGACCCTATAGGACAGAAAAAATTGCCCCATAGGGTTTCCAAGGAGTGGCTGGTGGATCCAGACTGCTGACCTTTTGGTTAGCAGCCGAGTTCTTAACCACTGCTCCACCAGGGCTCCAGCTAGATGATAGAGAGAGAGAAAGCAAGCAAGCAAGAAAGATATTTTTAAAACTACTAGATGCTCTTTTATTCTCTTTACTCATATTTACCAAAGGAGTAGTCTTATTTTACACAAAATTACAGAATCCAAAATTAAAAGTGGTTGGTGCCATAGTGGAGATAGTATAGAAAAGTAAGTGCTTAGTACTCTGTTAACTCAAAAAGGCAAATGAACATTCCCTGGGCTGTATGAGCAAA